TACATTACAGCGATACGAAACAGTGTGAAAAGGTAGAACAGTCAGTGTTCCGCTTAACACAATTTTTGTTACACTAAAAAACATAAAAGTCTCCGTCTATTTGGGAGTTATAGAGTACTCAGGTTGTAAAGTCTTGTGTCTGTTTGACTATGATAGCGTTTAATAATTACATTTATATTTAACTTTACGTATGGTCCATAATACAGTACTTTTAGATCCGTTAGCAGCTCCATAACCGTTGACGTTATAACGCTTCAACAGTTGCGCGATGTGACTAGTTAGTAATTACACTAACCATCAACAATAAAAAATGACGAGACATTCAACTCATTCAACCGCCTTTCCTTACCTGACTGATAATAACGCTCACCTAAGAGGGCCAATAAACAATTCTCGATAATCATTATTATTTAATATCATCATTTGTATTTTGACAATTTTGACATAGAATTTGATATTAGTAAAACAGTAACTTACAGTATATTTAAGTTCACCTTTGTTTCTTTTTTTGACGACTGAGTAGTTTAGTTGTTCATTATTGGTACTATTTTATGATGTATCCATGTTATGAACTATCGTATACCTAATGTTATGGAGGATACTTGGGTTATTAAAGGGTAAAGAGAACACACACACTACAGGTCAGCAACAAGCACACCAACACATGTACCCCGGGAGTGAGTCACCGTCTTGACCACGTAACTCAACTATTGCTCCAACACCGCAACAAATGTCAGTACGGCAGGTGTGGCCACGGTGCTGAGGCAAGTGTGGCCAGGGTGCTGATGTAGGTGTGGCCAGGGTGCTGAAGTAGGTGTGGCCATGGTGGTAAGGAAGGTGTCGCTATGGTGGTGAGGCAGGTGTGGTCAGGATGGTGAGGGAGGTGTGGCCAAGGTGGTGAGGTAAGTGTGGCCAAGGTGGTGAGGGAGTTGTGGCCAGGGTGGTGAAGGAGTTGTGGCCAAGGTGGTGAGGGAGGTGTGGCCAAGGTGGTGAGGTAAGTGTGGCCAGGGTGGTGACAGGAAGGTGCACCGTTCCTGCTGGTGATTCATTCCTTATACCTGAAGGATGACGTCATGACACCTTGGGCACATGGCTCTCTCTCTCTCTCTCTCTCTCTCTCTCTCTCTCTCTCTCTCTCTCATGATCCATAACAATTTCTCCGTTTACCTTTTTTCCTCAGTATAATTTCATAATTATACCCCTCCGCCCTCCGCCTTTTTCTCCCCCCTTACTCCTTCATATTATACTTCTTATACATTTGCTTCACCTCTATTTATCCATTATTCCTTATCTTGTTTATTATCTCCTGTTCCTTTGTTAAGTTACCTTTTTTTTTTTGCTTTCATATTTTCTTGTTTTTGTCTCTTTTCGTTATTTCTTTGGTTTTATTTTTGTTTTCTTCTTACCTGTTGTGTTTCTCCTCTCCCTCACTTGTGTAATATCAGCAAGCATGGCGGGAATAGTGACAGAAAGTACTAAATAAATCAAGCAGTGTAACGAACACACACACACACACAAGCACATACACACACACACACACACACACACACACACACACACACACACACACACACCTAGCATAAAATTAATATCAACCTCTACTGTACATTGATTCGTGACGTTTCATATCATTTTATATTAAGCTCAGGCAACAGTCCCTTCATTCTTCCTCGTTCTTAAGTCATATTAATGGCGGTATAATTTTCTCTCTTAACCCATCACGAACCATCACCAGGACAGGCCACTACCCTCACTCCATCAATAAAACAGTACAGTAACGTCAGAAATCGTTCGCCAGCACCACCATCTCACTGTCAGCCTGAAATTAACTAAATATAAGAAAAACTTTAACTTCTTTGCTGAAATAGTTGAGTGAAATATACAGTATAATGGTATGTGAAGGTAGTGGTGGGAGCCCTTACACGTCACACACACTCACACTTGACGGGGACATGTGGTGGTGGTCGAGTGATAGTGTTCGTGGTGGTAGGAGGCAAGTTTAGTTGTATTATAGGTCACTGTAAGTACACTTGTGTTAGTTATTTAATCCATGGATACTGAGAGCTGTTCAGTACACTACAGTGAACGTGTACTGCCCTCACTTGTACATAGTATACTGTGGTTATGTATGTTGGTATATATGCTATGTATACAGTATATCAGTGGGATCTCATACATGGAAACGTGTATGGAGTTAACTTGTGCGTGAGTGTTAGTGTTGATGTCAACAGTGATAACGGGTAGGACCATCAACCGTGTGGGGTATGGACAACAAAGAAGGTGTAGACCCTTAGTGTACTGTACCTGGAGTGTAGGACAACCCACACAGCAGCTACACTCACACTCCCGGCTGTCAGCACACTAGCAGACGGGAGGTGGGTGGGTTGATGCAGTTAGTGAATAAGAATAAGAGGAGCTTGACCTTTGACCTTCCCGCCTCCCACGGTAGTGTAGGTGTGTCCCCAGTCAACCCAGGTCAGTTGAGGGTCTGACCACGAAGTTGTTATGACAGAGATGGTTTACCACTGAATAGTGCTTGATTGGTCAGTTATTTATCAAACATAAATAATGCGCAAAGTTGACTTAATAACTGAACAATCTAGCACTGTTCAGTGGTAAATCATCTCTGTAATAACAACTCGGTGATCAGAGACCTCAACTGACCTGAGGTCAAAGGTCACCCTCAGACACCTGTGGTGTAATGGTCAGCTTGCTCGCCTCGCAAGGGACTGGACCCGGACTCGATCTCCGGGCAAGGTAAAACTATGGATAAGTTTCATTACGTCATTTGCCTCTGTCTACTCAGCAGTAATTGGAAACCTGGATGTTAATCGATTTGCGGATCGTGTTCCGGGGTAATGGTTAGCCAGTGCAGTTGGTGAGTTGTCCGGTCTTCTCGGACTGTTCCTTGACACCGGGTCATGCAGCTCGTTAACTTACGGTGTGGTTGTTGTGTTGGCGAGAGCTTCTACACCTTAAACAAATTCACGCCGAGGTGGCTCTAGGGCCGGCAATCCTCGATCTTGAGGATGACCTCTATTGAGGATTGCCTGTGCCAACTATGTGGTCGGAGTTGGCAATCCCCAATGGAGGTTCACGTTGCTTAACAAAGATGAATGAACAGGCTTAGTGTGGAATAAAACAAAGCCTAGGATTGTTTGTGTTGTCCATGTGGCGCGGTGGTAGCGATCCCTGAGGTATTGTTTGTATAATGGAAGTCCGCGGGCTATATGGACCGATGATATATATATATATATATATATATATATATATATATATATATATATATATATATATATATATATATATATATATATATATATATATATATATATATATATATATATATACAGTATATTGCATCAAATAATATTGGCTGTCGACGAGTCACGCTGACCAGGATAAGCTGAGAAAGTGAGCTGATATGTTCCCTCAGTTGTGTGTGTGCATATAACATCCAGCATTAAGACGGTATATAGGGTGCACTTCATCACGCTAGTTTTTAAGGTGACATCATGAAAACTTTCCAGAACAAATTTTTTATAAAAAAATTGGCTATATTGTGTGAGTGTTGTGACAAGGGGCTGCTCTATTGGTTGTTGTATCATAAGTCTTCTGCACTAACAATTCCAAATTAAATTCCGATACACCGTTATAAGAGCTGAAGTACTGTATGTTCACGGAAAATTTGGTCAGCCTCAATTAATTCTATCAAGTTTATTTAAATCTTGTTGCATCAACAATGAAGTATCTGACAAATGTATCAATAAAAGAAAGAAATTCTTGGCGTGGAGCATTAAATACAAATAAGTTTTCAGTATCCTCAAGAAGCAAACGAGGGGAAACATTCAGTATAACGGCAAATATATGAGGGAGGCGCCCTGTGGGGGAGTCACCCACGTGGAAAATAACTAACATTGTCCCTTCCTCCCTTCCCCTCCCTCCCCATACAGACAGATACATGGATTTTTTATTGGCCACAACAATAAAATATGATGCTTTACAGAATTTCATTATTGAGATCATGATTCCGAATATCTAATGATACTTAGATGAAGAATATCACACACACACTACTGCTACTACCTTGCTGTCACTCGAGTATGACGACCATCCAGCTATGATACAATAATATGAGTTATTAAGGAAGTCATCTTCGTTGGGGAGTTCTGAGGTGACTCGAGAGGACGATACGGAACAGGCAGGGCCGTCCACAGATGTTGCACGTGTGGTGGGCTACATCTAGTGGGGGAGGGATGGTGACAGCGTCTTTCTTGCGCTGGCGTTTGTCTGCCTCCCATACACACACACACACACACACACACACACACACACACACACACACACACACACACACACACACTTTGTCAGTGTAAGGTGACACGTGGTCTCGTCTTTTTCCTTCGGCGTCTTCCAAGCGTTTATTTTATTCAAATCTTCTATATTTCTTGACGTATGGATGACGTCCTTCAGCCTCAAGTACCTGCCAGGGTAGAGGTTCACATCCTGACCTCCACCACCACGTCACTCTCAACAGCACAAGGTCACAGCAATAGTTATCCTCCAGTGTGTAAAGACTAAACATTTACCATCCAACTCTGTGCATCAGTATTATTATCACAGTGGAGCTCACTCAACTATTTACATTATAAAGAACCATTGAGGAAAAAAATATATGATTTTCATGGTGGTTTGTCTCCGGTAGTTATCTGTGACCATCAATATTTTTACCGCTTAAAACACCCCTTAACTAAACAAGGGCTTTACAGTAATGTGGGTAGATATTACTAACATAGAATAAAAAGTTCGTTGAGAATCTTTCATATAAATGTAAGGTTTTATAGAGGTAATATAACCTGATAACATGTCAGAGTTGAGGGCCTCCCCGTTGGTGGCCGCCCCACACACCCACTTGTCTCTCACAAGCATTTCCTCACCCCAGCTGGCCTTCATCAGGGCTGCCTCCACCTTACACCAGGACTGCCTCCACCTTACACCAGGACTGCCTCCACCTTACACCCGACTGCTCCACCTTACACCAGGCTGCCTCCACCTTACACCAGGGCTGCCTCCACCTACACCAGGGCTGCCTCCACCTTACACCAGGCCTCCACCTACACCCAGGACTGCTCACCTACACCAGGACTGCCTCCACCTACACCAGGGCTGCCTCCACCTTACACCAGACTGCCCACCTTACACCAGGGCTGCCTCCACCTACACCAGGGATGCCTCCCACCCACCAGGCTGCCTCCACCTACACCAGGACTGCCTCCACTCTACACCAGGCTGCCTCCACCTTACACCAGGACTGCCTCCACCTTACACCAGGGCTGTCTCCACCTTACACCAGGGCTGCCTCCACCTTACACCAGGGCTGCCTCCACCTTACACCAGGACTGCCTCCACCTTACACCAGGGCTGCTTCCACCTTACACCAGATTACAGTAACCTTAATACTACACGTGAGGAAAACGTGGGTGAGACTCCCACCTCACCCACATAACCCAGCTCTCTCTCTCTCTCTCTCTCTCTCTCTCTCTCTCGCAGTATGGTCACTTATGCATTGGAAGAATTAACCATTTTAAAGACTATTGTTTTTCTCTTGACTATTTAAATTACATACTATCCATAATCCTGTTGTTCACATGATAGCAATAATACGCCATGATGTATACAATATGTGGGCTGCAGCACATACATTAGCCCGTGCACATGAGCGTGGATAATTGCATTGAGAATCTTCCTTGATGATTCACCCTAAAAGAGGTAACATGCTCTGCCTTGTGTAGCAGTGGGCGTCGTCACAATGCCTTCTTTACTGACCCAGCTTTAAGTTGGCCAATAATTCCTCGTTCCTGTACAGTGGCGTCATCCCCACACACTAGGCATATGACTTGTTGTTTGATCGATGACGTCATGAAAATTCAGAAACAGCGCCCTGACTCGCCCCACAGCCTCAAGACAGGTGTTGCCAGTTACCCCAAAACGGATGCACTTTTCCCGGAACTTTTACCTGCCCATGTTTGAGCTTGGAAGCCGTGTAATAAGAGCATCCGTCTCTTTTTTAGTCCTTCAACCCCGTCGCGAAATTAAGGATGGAGGAGAGTACTATCGTAAACATGGTTTTTGTATCACCTTGGTTGGTGTAGGGCGGAGGTGGGTCAGTAGGGACAGCTGGGCTAGGGAGCTGACACTGTCGTCTTGCTTTTTCCAAATATTGTACATTGATACTTACGTTAAGATATATTCACCTTGATGTTCTGTTATTCCTTGTTTTATTTCTCCTTTGCTAAGCTCGATGTCTTTTATCGATCCAATCTCTCTTTCTTCTCCTTCGTTTTATACTGACTTATGTTCTTGTTTATTTGACTCATCTTCACCTTGTTCTCCTCCTCCATAATTTCTCACTCAGATTTTCGTCTTCCTCTCGTTCCTCTCCCCGCCCCTTTGTATCATCTTCTACCTTATCTTTTACCCTTCTCACAGCTTTCCTAATTTTTATCTACTCCGCCTTCTCCTTCTGTGCCTCCCGCTCCTCTACCATATCCTCCTGTCTTTCTCCTCCTTTCCCCTCTCCTCTTCCTCTTACCACCGTCCTTCCTCCTCCTGCTGCACCTTCCTGACCACTAAGTCATGTTCTCTGTAATCATCTCCACTACCAGTCGTGTCTATTTGTTTACTTCCTGTGCCCAAGGTTGTATCATTACAGGTCTTCTACACCAACACGCTTTATGTTTACTTGACTATGTTTTGTACGGCAGTTATTCACAGAGACTATCGCTGGGTGTATGGCAGTACGAGTTCCTCATGTACTAACTTGTGATACTTAGTTTTACATGCAGTTTTTGTTGTCTCACCTCGTGTATAGTTTCTCGAACAACATTTTATCATCGTATCACCCCATTCGTTATCCATTTTACTGGTGTTAGGGGTACACAGTGCTTCTTGAACTAGATGAGTGGAGCAGGTCACTCACACCCTTGCCTAAGACACCTCCTGTAGGTCGTTACGCATCCCTATGACAGTTTAGAAAGAAAATCTTATTAAGGTGTGCAAATGGACAGCGAAATGGGCTTTTGTTGTTGTTTTGCTCTTAAAATGAACAACATTTGATAATAATTGTTCTTTCATCCACATATAAATTGAATTGACATTGGAACCTTAGTTATTATTTTTGTATCTCAAGACATAACTAATCACACCCAAGCCCAATGAACCAGTGTGCTTCACAAGTCTCAAGAAACTTCCTCATTCCTTCAGGATTTCTCGTGTTCACATGAAGGACAGCTGACGGGCTCCACGACGTGCGGGCCTTCGTAATATTTCACTACATTATCTGGAATTATATTCAACAATATGACCTGACACGGAGCGATAGACGGACATACAGACAAGTAGACACACGAACAAGGCCACGTACAGAGGGACGGCAGAAGTATAATAACCTGTTATTAACTATCCAACACTCACCACTATCACCACCACTCTACTACCTTCCTACCACTACCACAATCACCACCATCTTACCACAACCAAACTACCAACACCACCACCTCTCACAACCATTCATCACCACAACACGACAATCTCGACTAGGACCCTACCACAAGTACCACTACCAACACCACCATCATCTACATTTCCCTCTCACAATACAAACAAACATTGCCTGAGTGTCATAGTGGCATTGTTGTATATTAAGATGATGAGAAATGCCACACATACACACACTCACACACACACATACACACACTCACACACACACCTTGACTGTCCCTTCCATTACGTCATCATTCCTTGCTTTAAATAGCAGGCGAAGCGTCGAGTATGTGTTAAGACACTCCACCTGAAGAAGCCTACTCAGACGTGTCTCCCTAACACAACATTCACTCAAGTCTTGTGCTGAGTACTGGCCAGTGTGTCGAGTACGGAGTTGTCATAAGTGCACAAAGCCACGGCCCAGAACCCACCATAAACACACCTAGGACCAGTCTTCTACGCCCACGACCTCTCCTGCCTGGTAAACATCCCCACCACAACCCCCTCTCCTGATCCACCACTACCTACCTCAGTCCCTCCTCCGGGTTCTCGAGTCATCCATCTCACCTCACTCGTATCCACCCCTCACCCCTCGCCATGACCCACTCAGCCACGCCCCCTGCTGCACCTCCACCCACGCCTCCAGGGCCGCGTCACAACACCATCATGAATACTTGGAGGTGGATGAGAAGAGCCGAGTGTGGATAACGGATGAAGGGGGTGGAGTGTGATGTGGATGAGGAGGGTCTGGTTGTGGATGACGGAGAAGGGAGTGAATGTGTGTTGCTGATGATGAGGGCTGATGTGGATGACGGATGAGAGGGTAGATGTGTGATGTGGGTGAGGAGGGTCTGGTGTGGATGACTCCTTTGTCCAACCTTCCTTCGTTTTCTTTGTTCTTATTAATTGACGTTCGGTGAACGTCAGTTGAAATACATACGTACATACATACATACATACATACATACATACATACATACATACATACATATGTGCATACATACATACATACATACATACATACATACATACATACATGCATACATACATACGTGTATACATACATACATGCATACATACATACATACATATATACATACATACATACATACATACATACATACATACATACATAATGGTTGCCCCTCGTGTAACGAGGATGACCGGCCCTAGGGCCACCTAGGCGTGAATTTGTTTAAGGTGTAGAAGCTGTCGCCAACACCACAACCACACCCTGAATTAACAACCACAATAACGTTAGAGTCTGCTACTGTTCTTGTTTCATGTACTGTAAAGTAACATCACATCACAGCGAACGTCTTGGTAGAGAATCAACATCACTCTCAGTACAGCACACGACTAACATTCAGTCTTCACCATAACTTGAAGGGGCGACTGATACAGTTTATTGAGCCAGAAAGGTATTGATGTTAGTATGACAGTTATAGAATAAATTAACATGATGGAGACTTCTGAGAGCCGTGAGTCTCTTGAAATGGCACCTCACTTGAAACGTCTTATAGTATAATTATGTATGCCGGATAATTTGGGGCGAGAAATTTAGAACACTTGGCTTACAATTGAGTTGATGAATTTGGAGAAAATTATATTATAATGTTACAGTCGCACAGGTAGTCGTTACACGCCAGAGTGGCGTCTGACTTTTTTATTAATATATCTAGGTTGATGTTGTCTGCCATGTAACTATGATTACCAATTACCTCATTCAAATTATCAAAAAAGTTTCTGACATTAGAAGTAGAATATCTGTGAATTATTCCCAGTACAATATTTTCTGAATTTCTAAGTTCTTCTGTAATTAGAATTTCCGTCAGTGGCAGGGCAGGTTTAAATAATCTTTGTCATTACTCTATAGTTGGTGGTGCCCAGGCTTGCTATCTGAGTCATGTGAAGTTCGAATCTTGCAAGAGACAATGATGTTGTTCTTGTGTTTCACTCACGTTGTTGTGGGTTTCTTGTGTCCACTTAAGACGCCTGGTACTAGTTGGGCTTTTTTCTGGTTCAGAGAGTGACAATCAGCTACAGGTGGAGGCTAGAGTTTGTCAGGCTAGATTACACCATCGATGGCCGTTTAGCTGTTGGGTAGCGATTATCGGTGTTGCTGCTGTGGTCCTTCCGGGTTGGTCTTGTAGAGGCAGTGAGAGTCAGGCCGGGGAGCCACTGTATCATCCTGCACCAGGGGTCTCTCAGTCAGGCCAGGGAGCTACACTATCATCCTACACCAGGGGTCTCTCAGTTAGGCCGGGAAGCTACACTATCATCCTGCACCAGGGGTCTCTCAGTCAGGCCGGGGAGCTACACTACCATCCTGCACAAGGGGTCTCTCAGTTAGGCCGGGAAGCTACACTATCATCCTGCACCAGGAGTCTCTCAGTTAGGCCGGGAAGCTACACTATCATCCTGCACCAGGGGTCTCTCAGTCAGGCCGGGGAGCTACACTACCATCCTGCACCAGGGGTCTCTCAGTTAGGCCCGGAGCTACACTCATCATCCTCAGGGGCATCCTCAGGAGCTACACTATCATCCTGCACCAGGGGTCTCAGTCAGGCCAGGAGCACTCATCATCCTGCACCTCCAGGGTCTCTCAGTCAGGGATGCTACACTATCATCCTGCACCAGGGGTCTCTCAGTCAGGCCAGGAGCTACACTATCATCCACACCAGGGGTCTCTCAGTCAGGGGAGAACACTATCATCCTACACCAGGGGTCTCTCAGTCAGCCAGGGAGCACACTATCATCCTCACACCAGGGTCTCAGTCAGGCCAGGAGCTACACATCATCCCACACCAGGGTCTCTCATCAGGCCGGGAGCCACACCATCATCCCACACCAGGGTCTCTCAGTCCAGACCGGGGAGCTACACTATCATCCCACACCAGGGGTCTCTCAGTCAGGCCCAGGAGCTACACTATCATCCCCACCAGGGTCTCTCAGTCAGCCAGGAGCACACTATCATCCCACACCAGGGGTCTCTCAGTCAGGCCAGGGAGCTACACTATCATCCTACACCAGGGGTCCTCCCAGGCCGGGAGCTACACTATCATCCCACACCAGGGTCTCTCAGTCAGGCCGGGGAGCTGCTTATCATCCTGCGCCAGGGGTCTCTCAGTCAGACCGGGGAGCTACACTATCATCCTGCACCAGGGGTCTCTCAGTCAGGCCAGAGCTAATATCCACACCAGGGGTCTCTCAGTCAGGCCAGGAGCTACACTATCATCCTGCGCCAGGGGTCTCAGTCAGGCCGGGGAGCTACACTTTCATCCCACACCAGGGGTCTCTCAGTCAGGCCGGGGACACCATCATCCCACACCAGGGGTCTCTCAGTCAGGCCGGGAGCTATCATCCTGCGCCAGGGTCTCTGGTATCATCCTGCACCAGGGGTCTCTCAGTCAGGCCAGGGAAGCTACACTATCATCCTGCACCAGGGGTCTCTCAGTCAGGCCATGGAGCTTCACTATCATCCTGCACCAGGGGTCTCTCAGTCAGGTCGGGGAGCTACACTATCATCCTACACCAGGGGTCTCTCAGTCAGGCCGGGGAGCTACACTATTATCCTACACCAGGGGTCTCTCAGTCAGGCCGGGGAGCTACACTATTATCCTACACCAGGGGTCTCTCAGTCAGGCCGGGGAACTACACTATCATCCTACACCAGGGGTCTCTCAGTCAGGCCAGGGAGCTACACTATCATCCTACACCAGGGGTCTCTGAGTTCCCCATATTATTTTTTCTCTATAAGTCAATATAAAATAAATATAAAAGAACAAATAGGGTTATTGTTTAGTCTCATTAATACTATATGGAGGATATTTTGGCCGCTCTCCAGTTAGAAGACATTTAGTTATGAAACATTGGTACTCATCACTTGGGTTAATACTTTTAGCTCAACTGGCTGTTGCCTCCGCTTTGTCGGGAACTGGTTTGGATCTTTAATTAGTACTTACCCCGCCTTAATATAGACTAACACTATTAATGGTGTCAGATGCGGCTAAATATTTTTCCAGCCACACAACTCTCTCTGTTAGTGGTGTCAGGTGCGGCAGTGTTGTCTTCGAGCCACACAACTCTCTCTGTTAGTGGGGTCAGGTGCGGCAGTGTTAGTCTTCCAGCCACACAACTCTCTCTGTTAGTGGTGTCAAGTGTGGTAGTGCTAGTCTTCCAGCCACACAATTCTCCCTGTTAGTGGTGTCAGGTGCGGCAGTGTTAGTCATCCAGCCACACAATTCTCCCTGTTAGTGGTGTCAGGTGCGGCAGTGTTAGTCTTCCAGCCACACAACTCTCTCTGTTAGTGGTGTCAGGTGCGGCAGTGTTAGTCATCCAGCTACACAACTCTCTCTGTTAGTGGTGTCAGGTGCGGTAGTGCTAGTCTTCCAGCCACACAATTCTCCCTGTTAGTGGTGTCAGGTGCGGCAGTGTTAGTCATCCAGCCACACAACTCTCTCTGTTAGTGGTGTCAGGTGCGGCAGTGTTAGTCTTCCAGCCACACAACTCTCTCTCTGTTACTGGTGTCACGTGCGGCAGTGCTAGTCTTCCAGCCACACAGCTCTCCCTGTTAGTGGTGTCAGGTGCGGCAGAGGGGACCTTTATGCTAGGGATGGGGTGCATCTGTCTAGGGATGGGGTGGCAACTTTGGCCGGCTCTCTCGAGAGGGCAGTTCAAAAGATGTCGAAGTCTTTAAACTGCTAGGAGAACATATGAGCACAGGGGTGGAGGAGACTGCAGTGGGAGCGGGAAAACAAAGTGAAAGGTTACAGGGAAATAGTGCTAGGAATGATGACAAAACTAAATTAAGCAGGGAGTTAAAACCTAAACGTGACAAAGAGAGGACTCAGAACACGACTAACTTAAATGTCTACTACGCAAACAGTAGAAGTATGAGAAACAAAATGGATGAAATCGGGGCATTGGTATGTACCAAAAAAATCGTTAACACAGCATTAACCGAAGCATGGACAAACTTAGACTCACGTGAGTTACCTGTCAAATACGAAATTGCAGGTTACAAATTATTCCATACCGATAGGCAGATTAGGAAAGGAGGCTGAGTAGCAATCTATGCCAGGGATAATCTGAAGTGTGAAATAAATAGGGAAATAAAAACTGAATTAATCGATGGTGGGGAAAAATTAATCACAGGATTAAAATATAGACCTCCTAATCTTGATAAGAGTTAATGAGTGACTTATTTGGGATGAAATGCGCAGGGCTTCCATACACAACAAAGTCTGTATTGTAGGCAACTTTAACTTTAGCCAAATAGATTGGACTGACCTTACAGGTAACTCAGAATCAGAGGATTTTCTTGAAACAATCCAGGACTGTTTCCTAAGTCAACATATAACCGACCCCACCCGGGGTAATAATATACTCGATTTAGTTCTGTCAAGCAAAGAAAGCCTCATTAGTAATGTCGAGGTAGGGAACGAACTTGCCAACAGCGATCACAAAGAAATAAGATTCAAATTAGAATTTTAGGGCAGCCGCAAGGAAAATTCCACTAAAGTCCCAGATTTCAGAAGGGCAAGCTTTGATAGATTAAAGAGGCAGCTGAGAGAAGGCGAATCATGCTTGGTGGTGAATTACAGGACCTCACATGAGGTGACCTCGCACAATGTACCCACAGAGGGCGACCTTACCTTAACTGGAGACTTGATGGTTAGGGATGACCTGATCACGAGATCTGAGTTTTACGAGTTCCACAACAATTTAAATAATGAGTTTTAATGCACAAATGCAGAACATACCATACAGAAAACTCACATCAAACAACAATGACCCTAAATGGATAAAAAATTATTTAAAGAATATTATTGGACAAAGGAAGGCTATAGGTAGGAGAATAAATCGTGGTGAAGTTTACCTCCGAGATTATTATAAGGTATTGGCCGGTAGGGTTAGACCGAGATAAGAAAAGCAAAGAGGAATAATGAACTGTAGGTAGCCAGGGAGGAGAAGTCAAACCCAAAGGGATTCTATCAAATGTATCAAACTAAAACACGAGAAAAGATTTGACCAATACAGTCAGATACCGGCGAGCTAACTGATAACGACGGAGAAATGAGCAATAATCTGAATAAATATTTTTCAACAGTTTTCACCACCGAAAATTTAAACATGATACCCGAGGCACCGACTCTATACAGAAATAGTGAAGAAAATAAATTGAACGAGATAGTAGTGACTAGTAACGATGTTAGTAAGCAAATAGACAAACTAAAGCCTAATAAGTCACCAGGTCCCACTGAGATATTTGCCAGAGTATTAAAGGAATGTAAGGAAGGGCTTAGTATGCCCTTAGCAAAGTTGTTTAACATGTTCTTAAAAACGGGTGTAGTACCAGAATCCTGGAGGATAGCGAATGTAATACCGATTTTCAAGAAGGGAGATTGATCACTATCCTCTAATTACCGTCAAATCAGTCTAACATCAATTGTAGGCAAATTACTGGAAGCAATCATTTCAAACTCCATTCGAAATCACCTGAAGAAGCACAAGTTGATCAATGATTCCCAACATGGCTTCACAAGCGGGCGTTCATGTCTAACTACTCTATTAACATTCTTTTCATCTGTTTTCGAATCAGTGGACGAGGGGCACAATTATGATGTGGTATATCTTGGCTTTAGCAAAGCCTTGGACAGAGTCCCCCACGATAGACCTATAAGAAAAGTGGAAGCTCATGGCATTAAAGGAGATATTCTAAAATGGATTAGGCGTGGTTACAGGACTGGAAACAGAGAGTGAGCATTAACGGCACTAAAGCCCATTGGAGCAACGTAACTAGTGGAGTTCCTGTAGGCTCAGTACTTGAACCATTATTGTTTAATATAGACACTAAATTAGGGCGTGTAATTAAATCTGACGAAGACTCAGCAAAACTAGAGAAATCTAAACCAATTTTTCGAATGGTCTGAAAAAGTGGCAGATGAAATTCAATGTGGACAAATGTAAAGTACTCAGTATAGGAGATGTAAACAGGGAAACCAGATACCAGATGAGCAATGATGTTATTGAGAAATCCGAGTGCGAGAAAGATTTAGGAGTAATGATAAGTAGGAATCTTAAGCCAAGTAAACAATGTGTACTTGCTTGAAACAAGGCTAAGAAAGTACTTGGGCTCACACAAAGGAGTGTTAGTTACAAGCCTAGCGAGGTCATCCTAAAACTATATCTTGAGCTTGTGAGACCTCACTTTGATTACGCAGTTCAATTCTGATCACCGTATTTCAGAACGGATATAGAATCCTTGGAAAGAATTCAGAGGAGAATGACAACACTAATCCAGGGCATTCGGAACTTTGAGCACAGAGACAGGTTAAAGCATCTTAATTTGCACTCCCTCGAGAGATGCAGAGTGAGGGGCAATATAATAGAGGTGTATAAATGGAAGTCAGGGCTGAAAAACGGGGACATTACAAAGGTACTCAAACTATCCAACCAGGAGCGAACTCGTAACAATGGTTTTAAATGAGACAAATTTAGATTTAGGCGCGAAATAGGTAAACATTGGTTTAGAAATAGAGTAGTGGACGAGTGGAACAAGTTACCAAATATCATCATTAATTCGAATACGCTGGACAGCTTCAAACATATGTTGGATGGATATATGAGCAATAGGGGTTGGGTGTAAATAGGACTGCCCAGTATGGGCCAAGAGGCCCGCTGCTGTTTCCTCCATTCATATTTTCTTATGTAGTCTTCCAAACACACAGCTCACTGCGAGGTTTCAGGTGCGGCAGTGCTAGTCTTCCAGCCACACAACTCTCTATGTTAGTGGTGTCAGGTGCAGCAGTGCTAGTCTTCCATACATACAACTCTCTCTGTTAGTGGTGTCAGGTGCGGCAGTGCTCGTCTTTCAGACGAGGTGGGAGGGGGACTGCTGGTGGCAGGAGGTGGCGATGACGAGGATGGTGCAGTAGTCCACTGCTAAACCTTGCTAGTGCTTGGTGGTGTGTGTGTGTGCGCGTGTGTGTGCGCGTGTACTGATAAGTAAACAACAGCCTAGAGACATTACGCTCTACGTACAGTACTTAGCACGTGTCAAATATCTACGTGTATAGATATATTGGCTCAGCATTGCCTGAGAGAGTATGGTGAAACAGGTTCAGCCATGACAGACGACCATCATTAGTGTATGGAAGGGCAACAGTACAGTGTGGGGTCCCTTTACTTTGTTCCTGGCATATCTTGGTGTTTCTGAGCGTGTCCTACCCACACTCAGTGTCCCTGTGTGTGTCCTACCCACACTCAGTGTCCCTGTGTGTGTCCTATCCTCACTCAGTGTCCCTGTGTGTGTTCTGCCCACACTCGGTGTCCCCGGGTGTGTCCTAACGCCACTCAGTGTCCCTGACCTGATTTTTCTGACTTGTAATGTTGTTGTGAAACAGCAGGGAGGCTTCAGCACCACCTAGTGTGGGACAGTGGGCGTCACCTGCTCCACCAGGCTGCGTGTCTCATCCCCTCCCCAGGGACACTCCCGGGTCTCGCATCTCGGCCATTAGATGCACAAAAAAGGTAATCAGCTGAACCGCCAAGGGTTAAAGACGTACAAAAACGTTGTGGATTACAAACAATTGCAAATAGTAACTCGTCTCAACCAAGGATAGCCTAATGAAGCTGTTATAAGCTCATTTCTACATTTAATATACAGTATGTTGCTCTTCAGTGTGAACCTCTTGGTATTTTAGCTTCAGTGTCGTTTTTATCAGCAG